GCAAACTAAAAAACATTGCAAAAAATTAAAAAAAACACTTATTTCACTTTTTAGTAGATCACCATTTTGCTGATAAATCGCGCAATTTTGCGGACTAATTTTCATTTTTTGCGGACAAATAGTTTTTTAGCAAATCAAAAAAAATTGTTGACATGCTGGGGAAATGGATCAAAAAATTAACCTTCTCTAATTATTATTATGAAGGCTAATTTTCATTCAATAAATATTTCAATTTACCATATTAAAATTATTTTATATACCGAGGATTAAAATAATAAAAGGTTAAAACAGCAATTTGTTTATTTTATAAATAAAGGTATAACAAAATACAGATAAAGATTGTAACAAACTGAAAAAACTATTATCCAGGTTCTGATAATCATAATAATAATAACATGTAAAAAAATGAATATTAAAAATGTTCCTTAAAAAAGTACCTTATCGGTTTTTAAAAATTTTGGTTTAATATGTTAAATTAAAATATTTATTGAATGAAAATTGCGCGATTTCTCCGCAAAATGGTGATCTACAAAAATTGAAATAAGTGGTTTTTTAATTTTTTGCAATGTTTTTTTTAGTTTGCTAAAAAATATTTGTCCACAAAAAATGAAAATTAGTCCGCAAAATTGAGCGATTATTCCGCAAAATGGTGATATAATAAAAATTAGAGAAAGTTACTTTTTTAATTTTTTGAACCATTTTACCAGCATGTCAACAGTTTTTTTAGTTTTACTAAAAAACTATTTGTCCGCAAAAATTGAAAATTAGTCCGCAAAATTACGTAAATTATCCGCAAAATAACGTATGTATTAAAATTGGAAAAATCGAAAATGTACATGCTGTCGAAATGGACCTAGTACTAATTAATGAAAATTGAAAATAATTGACATGCACCATTTAGTCAAAAGGATCGATGAACAAATTTTTTTTTGGTGGTTACAAATGATTACAAATGATATTACATAATCTCCATTAGGTTTCAAGTACCTACAAGTCGAACTTCTGTAATGGCGGGCTGTAGTGACGTCACCGTGGCCCCGCCACATGGAAACTTCGTTTTGAGCCGAAATGGGTGGATTACAAATTTTTTTTTTGTGGTTACAAATGATTACAAATGATATTACATAATTTGACATTAATTTCCATTTATAAATCGTAAGTGGCGGGGCCAGGGTAACTGACCTTGAAAACGCTACAGTACAGATAAAGTTAATATAAGTGATATAAGTTATATACAAAAAATAATAATGAACTTAACTGAGTTAAAATATATGAAAAATAACCCTGTATATAATTATCCCCCCTTACTTTTTTAAAAAGTAGAAACATAGTGGATATTTTTTATTGACTATTGTATTAAGAAATTAAATATTTTTGACACGTTTCATATTTGTGGTATTATCTACTATATTATTCTATATATTGTATTACGACCAGAAACCATGTTCAAATGTTTTTGAATAAACTAAACAATATATGTATAAATATATAAATGTGGGTATTTTTTATTGACTATTGTATTAAGAAATTAAATATTTTTGACACGTTTCATATTTGTAGTTACATCTACTATACTATATTATATATTATATTACGACTAGAAACCATGTACAAATGTATTTTTGAATAACGTAAAATATTAATGTATAAATATATAAATGTACAAATATAAATATATAAATGTGAATATTTAAAATACAATAAAGAAAAATTAACAAATAAACCAAGTGTTTTTATTTATTATTTATTGCCCTACAGAAAATATGAGGTATCCTCTAGTATGTTAAATTTTTTTACAATTTTAGGAGAGTCTTCCAACTGCACAGAGAGAAATGTTATTAAAACAATTAAATCGTCAAACAGAAAATAAATTTCACCAGGACTCAGGGCCTTTGCTTTGACCCTAAATTTTTATTCAGCTGCAGCTTACAAGTATGTAAGACAAGTTTTTTAAGAAATGCCTTCCACATCCCTCAACACTACGGAAATGGTATGCTGTAGTTGATGGTGCAACCTGGTTTTACCAAAGAATCAATCAATGCTTCAATGCTATACAAATCAAAGTAACAGAAATGCAATTGAAGGATAAAACCCTAGTGTGTGGTATGATGATTGATGAAATTAGTATTAAAGAGGGCACACATTTTAATGGTACATAAAACCAAGGGTATATAAGCTATGGAACTGGCCTTAATGCGGATACAGATACACTTGAATGCTAAAGAGGCGCTTGTAATTATGCTTGTTGCTCTAAATTCCAATTGGCTATTTTCTGCTAAATGGGTTATCTGGTTCAGAAAAAGCCAATTTAATTAATACAGCTCTAACCATAGTTTATGATACTGGTGTACTGGTGAAGACGTTGACATTTGATGGAGCTGCGTCTAATATTTCTATGGCTACTACATTGGGGGCTAAACTTTATCCTCCAGATATGAAAACGTTTTTTTCGCACCCAATTACAAACGAAAAATTTTTTATTTTTTTTATCCATGTCATATGCTTAAGCTTTGCAGAAACACATTTGGTGATTGGGAAACGTTATATGACAAAGATGGACAAGAAATAAAATGGGAATTACTAAAACAGATAGTAGATTTACAAGAAATCGCTCAATTACACTTAGCCACCAAAATTAGATCAAGACATATAAAAACTACTACAAAGAAAAAATGAAGGTGAAGATTGCAGCTCAAACTTTAAGTGAAAGTGTGGCCAAGGCTCTGACTTATTGTACAGAACAGAAGATCGCTGGCTTTGAAAACTCTGATGCTACTTCTCAATTTTATCACAATATAAATAATATTTTTGATGTTTTAAACACAAGGAATTTTTTAGGTAAAACCCAATTCAAAAGACCTATTTATTTAAATAATGAAACATTTCTTAAGTCATTTATTTCTTCTTCAATTGAGTATCTATCAAACATACAGACCAAAACATTCAATATACAGTCAAAGACACATGCGTTTATACCAATCATAAATTCTGGAAGGAGAACTGGTTTCAATGGTCTTATAATTTGCCTAACAAGTCTTGGTGATTTAATAGATGATGTTCTAAAGACCAATCAATTGGAATTTTTATTAACATATAAAATTTCCCAAGACCATTTGGAAATGTTTTTTTCAGCAATAAGATCACGTGGTGGATTCTGTGACAACCCTACCGCTAGTCAATCTGAAGCCGCATATAAACGATTATTAATACACAATGAAATAGTTACATCTTCCCAGGCAAATTTCATAACTCAAGATACAACCGAAATACTGTCAACCACTAGTGCTTCCAAGAAAAAAAATTCTGTATCAAATTCTTTGGACCTTATTTGTTCAGCTGGGACGGATGAAGATGAAACCATTTCAATGTTTCTGGCCTAGCAAAGGTCTCCGCATTCATCATATTTAATGGACGTAACTCAGTACATAAGTGGAGCTGTAACAAAAAAAAATAATTAATTGTCCAGAATGTGTGAAGGTTTTGTCTGAAACAAATTCTACTTCGATGCCTTTTATAGACATAAAAAAAAAGAGGAAAACTTATTAAACCAACTACTGACGTGACTGAGCTTTGTCGAATTGCAGAAAATGTATTCCGAACTCAACCATCCATATATAAAACGATTGGTGCAACGAATATAAGAGAGACATTTATAATGAAATCATTTTCGAAGATCAATATCAATAAATACTTTTTAAATTTATCTGAACATATATATAATCAAGATCCAATAAATATTCATTCAATACAAATTATAAAAGAAATTTTCAAAACTTATTTCAATATAAGAATTCCTCATTTTAACCAATCAAGTAGTCAGCCTAGAGACAGAATACGGTCACATTTTACAAAACTTGTACATTTCAGACATCAATAATATATATGTTTACTTAGTTATGATAATTTAAGTCATTGATTAATTGCTTTAAATCGCTTTAAAAATTTGACACGTATCGACAGAGAATAGTTATATACCGAATGCAATACGGTTGGGTACGTATTGCTTGTATATTGTACG